TGAAGTAATAATTCTTAGGCAACCTGTTTGTTTGTTTGTTTGTTTCTGAATAGCCAAAGGTTCTGAGCTCAGAGAAGGCAGTTTTGCTGGAAGGAGCCTATGTTAGTTACCAAATCCTCCTTTCTTTCATGATGTATACCAGCAAAACATAGACAAGAAAATAACAATTAATGGAAGAAACATGAAGGCCTGCCTTATAGCCAAAGTATATATTTTAGAGACAGTGAAAAATGCCACCATTCTGTTGTATGTTAATACTTAGGAATTCCTTCAGTATTAAGAGACTAACAATTTTACTGGAGGCCTTCACTCATACCTATGCAATTGTGTCATGTAAACAGAATAAATTAGAAAGTGGTCTTACTATTGTAGGAAACCTGCCTCATTCTTCATGTAGTTTAGCTTCCATGTGACCAAGGTTTTTTTCTTTTCTTTACTAAGTTTTAGAGAACACTCACCTACAAATATGCAAATTATTTTGTCAAAAATTACCCAGAATATTTACCCACTCTCATTAATTTTATTTTTCAGCCATGCATATGGCATCGCCTGAACTCTCAAAAAGTCAGCATCATAAAAAATGGTGGGATCAAAATACACAAAAACTATACTAGTATTTATTATCTTCTTCCATATATAAACTCCTTGAGGGCAGGGATATACCCTGACTTATTTTCCCCTGCACCCAGCAGTGCTTAATATCTAGTAGGTAGTCAATAAATACTTGTTAAGTTTGAAAGAAATGTTTTGATAATGCAATAATAAGTAATTTCTTGATCATTGCACTATACTATTTCATGTTTCACTGCTTTCACAGTACAATAGGACTGTGTTACGGACAATAGGGCCATGGCCAAAAAGGCTTAAATTATAAATGCTTATGTCCTTTTTTTAAAAATATTTATAATATCCATGTGGTAGACTCAGTAATGCCCCTCTCTGAAGGATACCTTCATCTAATGCCTAGAACCTGCGAATACACTACCTTAGATGGCAAAGGGCAATTAAGGTTTCAATGACATTAAGGCTGAATTTAAGGTTAGTCTGTCACTTGCCAAAAAGTCACTAAGAAAAACTGCAAAAATGAGTAATATGCTCCTAGCCCCCGGGTCAGTACTCTCCAGTCTTATAACCTACAAGTCAACATTCCCTGAAAGAGATTAATTTTAAAAATGAGAAATCAGGGTAGGTTCACCACATGGAGTATATAAAGGGAATGATATTTTTCTTATAACAAAATTACAAACACTAATGTCCCATAATTTCCCTCCAAAAAGAAAAAAAAAATTATGTTTGTGTTATAATCATTTTAGGATTACCTTTCTTTTTCAAATAGATACTTCAATTTAGTCGTAGAAGGCTAAAATTCTCAGTTTGTTACAGTCTTGATCTGCTCACAAAGGAACAGGTTATCTCAGAACTGTGGGATAAAAATGATCTCGTACTTGTATTAAAGGCATCAGTACTGTGATTTTGGGGTTTTTTTCTATTTTGTGGACCCTATGAACTTGCTCCTATAAGACAAAGGGCACATAGTTAATTACTTATTAAAAGTGCCTGAGGAGGTGTTCATGGTTTACTCTGAAACGTGGGTCAATCTCACGGTCCTAAAGTGTATGTACGGGAGCATTATTTTCAAATCATTCAGCAGCCTGGTTTTGAACAGCTATTTATGCTTGGTGTAAGCTGGCCAGGCTTGATGTAGTATTGGGAGAACTGACCAAGGGAGAGGGAGGAGGTCATAGCAGCCTATGATGCTTGGGTCAGACTCCAGTCATGGAGTTTAAAAAAAAACCAATCCAGACAGAGGAAACCTTAAATTATTGTCTGTAATTTATTTGTTGCCCAGTTGTCTCCAGTTTCCTTTTAGCAATTTGTCTGTATGTTCCCAGAAGGGCAACATACACACAAAGTGTTCATTATTAATAATGAAGTCCAAAGTATAGTACGGATATTTGGACATTAACAATCCTCAAATGTATAAGAGTAAAAGTCAGTGTCTTTGAAAATTGAGGCCTGCTGGACCATGAATCTTCTATTTGCCTTTCTATTTATATTGTGTTTTTCTCCCTTTTTTGCCAGCTTGGCTCAACTAATCACCAATCATTCCCCCCTGATTTTACCTAGAAGCAGCTCGTTAATTTGACATTTCTGGATAGAGTGCATGCTTTTGATTCCATAAACTCTGAGCCCTAAAGCCACCCATCAAGAGGAGAAATGATGGGAAGGAGTTAGGCGAAGAGTCAGTATCCCTGGCACAGGGCTTAGCTGAATCTTTCTGCTGAGCCTCTAAGGCTGAGTTTTTCAGATTTTTGAAACACAGAGAAGAAAACGGAGCCTTTGGAATTAAGGCTGAGACCAACAGAACGAGTCTGTGAACACAGACAGCCAGAGCTGAGGTAGAGGGAGCTAAAATCATAGGAAGGAGTAGCAGGAGGCCAGGACACCTGGGCTGCGGGCCAGTCCTGGCTCCACATGCCAACATTCAGGCTCTGGGGCTGGGGCAAGTCCTGGTGAAAAGTAGAGAGGGAGCAACCATGGAGGCCCAGAGGATGTGTGGTGGTGACACGGTGGTGCGGCCGCTAACTGACCCTGGTACCAAGTTAACCGTCAATACTCAGTCAAAATATATCTCCATATGGCCCTTGGAAAGTGACTCCGACCACAAAGTTAGGTTTGCATTTGAGAGTTAAGTCATGACTTGTGAGCAACATATTTTAATTAAGTAAACAAAATAACTCTGAAGGCTAATTCAAGTGAAATGTGAGACTATCAATACTTTAATCTCCTGGTACAGCAGGGAAATATCTGTCCCTTCTAATCTCTGAACATTTAGGAGTCCTGTTATAACATTTTAAAAGCTGATTTTGAGAAACAGTCCAGGATATTCATATAATACATTAAATTTTTCACATCAAGATAATTATGGAAATATATCTTTGAAATGATGTAAAAGTAGTCATTTCTAAACCAATCAGAATACTACCTTACTCCTGGAATAAGATTAAGTAGAATAATGACATGGCTATCAGTGAGGCCCCCAGGGAGCAATAGTCTACTATCTTATAGATGTAAATTTTTCTCACCTGTTTTCTTTCAATGTGTTCATCTACACTCCTAATTTCTGAAAAAGCAACGAGCACAGTTTTAGATCCCATTGCTATCCAATTCAAATTGTTCTTCAGATGATTTGATTAAAACTACAAAGAGCTACTTTCAGCAAAAGCTTCTTATAGTGAGCACAAACATTAGTGGGGCTGGCATGCAGCACTTAACCTGCGTTCACAGCTTTAGAGAGAAATACATTCAGAAGGGGAATTAACCGCAAACTAAAGCCCACCCCTCGACTGCTTAGCCAATCTGTCAAGGAGGTTTACATGTGCCAGGGCTTCTCTACAATTCACCCTTAGTTATAGGTCCCAGCTCCTGAAGTCTCCAAGAGACATTTATTCAATAACAATATAAAAAGAAAAACAATGACATCCAGCTAATATTAAAATCATCATAACAAGATAATCCAAAAAACACAAGCTCGTTCATAAATCCTAGTCATTCTTGTCTTATCGAATGGTTTAAGTTAAAATTAAGCATATCGTGGCATGTGAAAGGGTTGAACTTTTTGATGCTTGAAGAATGATTTGGTAATTCTTGGGTACTTGCAATCACTTTGCTATTTGCTTCTCTCAAACTTTGGATGAATTTTATGCCTAAAACTTTACATTCTCAAATCCAGGAAGACTAAGTACTGCAAGTAGTTCTATGCTTTGCCAGTAACACAGGCTCTCTGTGGGGTGCAAACACGAGAGTGCTTCCACTCTCAAGAATGGTTTTATAAGGTTGCAGGATTACAGGTTTTTGTTTCCCCCTCTCATGCTCCGAGGTATCTTCGCATAGCTTGTGCCGCAGGAGATGCTGTGGTATTTGATTGAATCAGTAGGTGAAGTATTATGCACAGTTATGCTTTTCAGCATTCAGTTCTGGTGCAGTATTTTTCACCACTGTGGCTGACTCGTCAGGCTGTCGAGAAAATGTTCACTGGCTTACTAGAATATGAAATTTAAGTCTCTGATCTAGATAATTTTAGATGCTTTCATTTCATTATAGAAATTCTTAGACTACTAGTGGGATAAAACAAATGCTAAGGCCATATCGAATTTCAACAAGCTGAACTAGCAGAAAATAAAGATAAAATGCCTTTCTATTTCAGAACATGATGATGTTTTCATTGTTACAGCGTTTGGCATGCCTAATGTATACAATCCTTGACATTCATATAATAACAAAAGAAAGTTGTTTGGGATTTTTCTTTTATTTCCTAGTGTCCGCTTTCTTTTCTAGTATTTCTCCCACATCTACCCCAGCCCTGGCCTTTCATTCTCTTCCCACTTTTCATCCTCTATACAGGGAAGAGACGCATGTAAAAATACCTCATTCTACATAGACAGGCCAAGACTGCCTGTTACCTAACGGACCACCATCGTTGCAACAACTGATGTAGATGCCTCCGGGTGAAACAAAGGTTTACATATTACACAAGCAATTTAACTGTTTTCTAAACATATTGCCAAGACAGTGGGAGTTGGCAGCCTACACTGTGTTTTAGGTTTGGAGGCCTTGGATTAGAAGTGGCTGTTGATTATAACCTTTTTATTTGTCTTCCATGAACTACAAGCAACCTAGTAACCCAGGAAGGAATTCTTCACAGCACTTAAACTTGTCTTCCTAGCTTCCCAAGATTACATACACAAATCACTTGACAAACATGGTCTAGGACTTGTGCATAGATAACCATGCAAGACAATTGTCTTGTGCTAACCCTTAGAGTCCCACAAAGTATAACGTTTTATAATCTTTTTTGTGCAGTAGGCAAGGAAGAAAAGAAGAGAGGTTGGGTGAAGATTATCTAGAAGGAAGAAAGAGACTCTTTTGGGGTTCCTGTTGAAACATAACAAAGAACATAATTAACTTCACAATTCTTTGTGTTTTTCATTTGACTGCAGGGAGGAGATGAAAGAGGACTGCTAAGCCTTGCATTCCATCCCAATTACAAGAAAAATGGAAAGCTGTATGTGTCTTATACCACCAACCAAGAGCGGTGGGCTATTGGACCTCATGACCACATTCTTAGGGTTGTGGAATACACAGTATCCAGGTATCACTAAAATGCATCAAATCGTACAAATTTTATAATCTTATTTTTCCTTCAGCTAGTCACAAGTTTTTGATTTCAAAATTACAGATAAGGGGCTGGGGATTTAGCTCAGCGGCAAAGTGCCTGCCTGGCAAGCGCAAGGTCATGAGTTCGCTTCCCGGTACCGGAGAAAAACCAAAAAACCAAAAAAAAAAACCAAAAAAACAAAATTACAGATAAGTAGCCATATGATGGCAGTAACTAAAATCTCTAGCTTACTTAAAACCCTGTATGGATATCTTGGGGAAGTTGGGGGAATTTAGTACTTTCCCTCAATTATCTTTCAATTTAAGCACTATTTCTAAAATTTAGAAATTAATGTGCTTTTTCAATAACTTCTATTTGCTCTTTTCAAGTTTGTTTTTTATGTACAAACGCTTGCTTACTTATTCGTGTGCTATTTACTTTCTAGTGGATTCACCTTACACCTTTAGCAATCAGAGTATTCCTTCCTCCCTGTGATGCAGGAAAAATCCCCATCAGGTTGATCTGAGAACAGCCAGAGTGTTTCTTGAAGTTGCAGAGCTCCATAGAAAACATCTAGGGGGACAACTGTTCTTTGGTCCTGACGGCTTTTTGTACATCATTCTCGGGGATGGGATGATCACCCTGGACGATATGGAAGAAATGGATGGGTTAAGGTAAAAACCTGGCAGTAGTACCTCGGGATGCTAAAATGTTTGCATTGCTAGGAGAAAGGGTCTGAACCAGTGAGTTAAGAACCATCTCTGAAGTGCATTACTCTGCATATATAGTTAACGTTTACTGTCAGTGTCTGCATTTGTAAAATGCAGAGGGATTCAGTATTTTGCCTACATAGTGTTTCCTTTTGTCATAAAATGAATTATAACTGTGCAGTTGTATGCTGCATGGGCTGCCCCTAGTACACTTGGCGTTTAGAAGTGGACAGCCTTGCGTGTATATGTCACTTCCCTCCACTCTGCATCCTGGGAGATGTAAATTACATGGGTTGGCAAAAATTAAAGGGGACAGAGGCAAAAGAGCAATGTGCTACTGATGCTGCAGCCCTTGGCCACCTTCCAGCTGTGTCTTACTGCAGTGCCTCATGTGGAACCAGAGTGCCCTGGTTTCATTTCTGACCATATGAGATCTGGCATATGGATAATTTTGTCTCAGACAAGGGTGTTTCTCTTATACATGCAGCAATCTTATCACATAGTCTAGGTGGAGCATATAACCTGAACAGGAAACACTGATGCCATCCTCCATTTTCTCAGTGATTTCACAGGCTCGGTGCTACGGCTGGATGTGGACACAGACATGTGCATTGTTCCTTACTCCATCCCACAAAGCAACCCACACTTCAACAGCACCAACCAGCCTCCAGAAGTGTTTGCCTATGGGCTCCACGACCCAGGCAGGTGAGGATACAAGGCTATTCTCTTGCCTACTTAAAGAAGGCCTGGCTTTGGGAAGTAGGAAGAGGAAGATGGTGACCAGTCACAGAGCAGCCAAGGGTGGTGTCCGAGGTTGGGTCTCTAGAGTCAGACCAGGTCATTGTCTGGGCAGGTATTTAGCTCTCCTTTTCTGTTAGTGTTGGGAGATTGAGAAAGCAAATTAGACGAAAAAAGAAAAAAATTCATAGAAAAAAATTGACTTCAAAATTGGGGGGGGTTACTATTAAACTATGTGGGACTAATATAATGACTAAGACTTGAATGATTTGGGGGAGATAATAAAGCTTTCAATTTGTTTAAATCCTTCTAAATTTTATTTTCCATGTTGTCTCAATCTGTCTGATGCTACTATAACAGAATACCACTGACTAGGTGATTTATACACAACAGAAGTTTATTTGGGTCAGGTTCCAGAGGCTGTCCAAGGGCATGGTGCCAGCAACTTGTAAGTGCCTTCCTGCTGTGCACATCCCATGACAGAAAGAGAGGTGGCAAAATTACCCTTTTATGAGGAACTTATTCCTGCACTAGTGGCACTAATCCATTCCCAAGGGCAGAGCTCTCATGACCCACTCACCTCCGAAGGTCCCACCCCTCAACACTGCTGGTAGCCCTGGAAATTAAGTTTCCAACACGTGAACTTTACAGGACACATTCAAATTGTAGCACTTGTAGATGTAAGGACGTTGTAATAATCAAACAAAAATCTACAAGTAAAGCACACTAGAAGTGTCTGACACCTGGTAGTTCTTTTTATCATAGCCTCACTTAAAATAGGATGGTGTAGTGTTAATTTGCAGGGAGTTGAGCTACAAATCAACATTTTTTTTACTTGAAAGATAATTACATACATTAAAGGAATTTATATTACATGTTTGATATTGTATATTACAATGAACCATAAAAAAAGAAAAACTAAGAAATATGTAGAGCAAGCGATTTTAACTACACTTAAAAAATACTATGAAGTATACTATAGAAATTCTGTGATGAAAGCCCCATCCAATCTTTGGTCTATTATTATTACTAAGGGGCATCTGGCCACAATCACTCATTTACTAGCTAAGTTATTATTGCTATTTAACGTTTATTGAGTGTTCACTATGTGCAAGGTGAATATTTCTCCAGCTTTTTATTTTTATAATCCCTCATGCCCATCATCTCCCCTCCATCAAAGCCCAAGTCTACAGTTCATTTCCTTTTTGGCATCTCAGCGGATCTTAAAATCAGTGCGATGGGGAATACTTGAGGTGGGTTCCGGATGTGGAGGAAACTGTCACATTCCATTCCTATAGCGCAGAACTCACAGATACCACCACCAAGCAGCACTTTGAAGTAGAGCAGCCTGAGTCACCACAGTCCCGCAGGAGCTTTCTTGCAACCTGCCTGGGGGTTCTGAGCTTTGATGCAAAAATACTGGACGAGGTGCTTTATACACCATACATGTGGCAAGATGCCTGTGCCCCGGAGTCCTGCGTCCTCCGGCAGCAGAAGGCTGAAGGGAAAGTCAATGTTTATATTCTCCCTCCCTCCAAGAGGGTTTTGAGCACACACACAGAAAGAGATTTAATAAAGCAGAAAAGAAGCTAAAATAATATTTAGCTAAAATGAAACTGTTTGTAAGCACCTTGCTGCAGGGTGCTAAATAGCTATCCCTGTACAGTCTCCCCTTTAAGCTTTACAGCAATACTCAGAGGTAGATGACATCCGTCCCCTACCCACACCCCTTTTTAAATATACTATTTTTGGAGGTGTTGGAGATTTGCAGCAAAATTGAACAGAAAATACAGACACTTTCAGTGTAACCCCTAACCCTGCACAGGTATTATTATCATCCCCCATAGAATGATACACTTATTAGAATTGATGAACAAACACTGCACAACATAATCAGCTAGATACCACAGTTTGCATTGTTGTCGTACATTCATGCTGTAGGTTTGGACAAATGGGCAGTGGTATGTACCCACCATCATACTACTGTCCCATTAGTTTCAGTAGCCGCCTTTTTTAAAAAAATACAACATCTGAAGGTTAGAAGGGTCAAATAGTCAGTGGGCCTGGTGTTCAGCCAGAGCTAACGCTCATAGCCCCTAGCAATTCCACCTCTGGAGGAGCTAGCTGGCCTTTTTATCCAGATTTGCTACTTCTGGCTGGAAACAAGTCAAGCCTTTTTTTCCCCATAGTTTTTCCACCTTCAGAAGAAAAATAAAGCAGGAAGATTGTCTTACCCCCTGTGAATTTAGTTCCACCTTTAGTCACAGTATGTCTTTGTCGTGATCCCTGCAAGGCATTGTGTTCTGTGAGTCACTGAGCTGGAGAGGACAATAAAGGGACTGTTGCCACCAAGCTGGATCACGTCCTTGGCCGGCCAGGGGCAGCTGCCAATGGGATCATTTGGAGACAACGGTTGTGTTGTTTTGCTTTTTAATAATTACTACATGACTCTTATGTGTCTTGAGACCTAGCACCCACTTTCAAAAATTTTTAAATGTTTTTAATTTATGTATAGCCCCAATGGTTTTGTTTCATTTGCCATTAATGAATTTTGTTGGCTTAAAACAATGATTCTCAGAGGACTGATTCTGCCTCCAGGGAACATTTGGCAGTGTCCGGAAACATTTTTTATTTTTTACAACTGGAGGTGGGGATAGAGTGAGCTACAGTGATCTAGTTGTAGAGGCCAGAGATGCTTTCAACATCCTATAATTTTCATGACAACCTCTCCAAATAAAGGTGAGCTGGCTCAGAATGTCAACAGTGTCAAGATTTATCCTAAAAACAATAGAGTCCTATTTTCCACATTTTTGAGGACTTCAAAATATGTTGTTCAACTTTATTCTTCCCGTAACCCCCGAATCTCACTGACTTAAACATTCAAGTGATCCCCGCCCTAGTGAAGCCAGGGACTTAGATCACAGATAGTCTGCCACCTTCAAGGTTGATGAACATGAAGACAACTGATGTGAAAAACGGTGCTTCTAGGGTCCGGCTACATTTTAATTTTATTCCCTGAATCAGATCATATGTTTTCCTTTATTAGAGCATCCTGAGCTTTAAAATGTGATCCATCTAAAAACTACACGACTGGGGCTGGGGATTTAGCTCAGCGGCAAAGCGCCTGCCTGGCAAGCGCAAGGTCGTGAGTTCGGTTCCCAGTACCGGAGAAAAACCAAAAAACCAAAAAATAAAATAAAATAAAATAAAAACTACAGGACTAATACTATAAATTACATTATAGATATGAGTTGAAGATGACATTAAGTCTTATTCGTTATACTTTAACAATTTGGGGGGGGTCGTTTTGTTCATCTTTGAGACAAGGTCTTGCTGTATAGCCCCGGCTAACCTTAAACTCAGTCATGATCCTTTGGCCTCAGCTTCCCCAAAGCCAGACCACAGGTGTGCATCACCATGCCCTGCTTCAAGTACTATACATGAAATATTCCGTAACAACGGGCTAACAAATGCTTTGAGACAGTGCACGTTCATAATAGAAGGAGTTACCAAGAGAAACTAAGAAATACACTCCGGAAGCAATTAAGTTTCAACATAATAAACAAAAATATCAAGATGATTCAGCAAAGCAGAAGTGAGTTGTTCATAGGATCCTCTGCTAGCCCACCAAGGGTTTTGTCCTCGGTCAGGAATCCCCAGTCAGAGTTTGAAAGATGCCTCAGTAGGAATTAATGGGTATCCACCCCTTTTGTTATGCAGATGTGCCGTGGACCGACATCCCACTGATATAAACATCAATTTAACAATACTTTGTTCAGATTCCAATGGAAAAAACAGATCGGCCAGAATCCTACAGATAATAAAGGGAAAAGATTATGGTAAGTCAAGCATAATTTGTTGATTTTGCTTTAGTTTGAGTTTGGTTTTAGCATATTAATTGAAAGAAAAAGGATTTCTGCAAAATAAGCACTTGAGAAAACATAAAAACACTGGCCCAACAGTGGCCAGATGGTGAACTGCTCACTTTTTAAGTTGGGGACTCTTACAGGCCCTTAGGGTTCTACTTGGATAATTACACGTCCCACGGATTACACGGTTCTCACTAGGTCCAAATAATGTAATTGCTTAAAAAGTTAGCAGCTTGGGGCTGGGGATTTAGCTCAGTGGCAAAGCGCCAGCCTGACAAGCTCAAGGTCGTGAGTTCAGTTCCTGGTACTGGAGAAAAACCAAAAAAAAAAAAAAAGTTAGCAGCTTGTATGATTCTCATCTAAGAATCAAGATACATAACTTCTATCTACTTAATTTAATAAGGGAGGACTTGTGCTAAAATGTTATAAAAAGAAATAAATGTTAAAGGCGAGAAATTTTTCAATACCCTACATGCTAGTCTTAGTGATTAAGTATAAATGTTTTATATAAGAATGTGATTTTTTTCTAAAGTGTTTATTTTAGACAAAATAAGTAATGGATTTGTGAAAACAAGGCATGGGAATGGGATGTTTAAACATTATTTCTAATAACTCGATTACTAGAATATTTAGAGAGAACACATAAAATATAAAACTGGGTAATAAAGTGCAAGAATATTTAGTATTTTTAATATTTTGGTAGATATTTCTTTTGAAGGAAGTGATATATTAAACATTCTTAGGATTCAGGGAACATAGTAGATTAAGATTATTAAATTGATTGCTTCTTCTATTTACTCATTCAATACAGATATTTATTTAGCACCAAAAATGAAGCAGCTGTGTTAGTTCATGTGGTATTCAGATATTTTTTATTTTTTTTTTCAGGTGTGTGTGTGTGTGTGTGTGTGTGTGTGTGTGTGTATGTGTCTTATAAAAGCCAAACCAAAGTATAATGTGGTTTACAAAAAAAATCAAATGAGGCACTAGTTCTGTGGACTTTTGGCTGCATCTGTAGATTAAACTAAATTCTATAATCACATTAGCTGAGGTTCAGCCAAAATGAGTTGCAGTATTAACAGCCCTGTGTTTATGAATTTTCATACATGTAATATACATCCACGGTGCTTACTACATGCCACCCCTATAGAAAACACTTTATAAGTGTTACTCATTTCATGCATAGAACAAGCCTATGTGTAAGCACAATCATTGGCCACACTGTACAGATGAAGAAACTGAGGCACAGAAAGGTTAATTAGAACACAACGTAAAGTGGGAACAACTGGATTTGAACTCCCTGCTGCAAGAGTTCATGACCTTAATCATTCAGTTATGCTGCCGTGTGGTGTGCTGGGTATTTAAAACTTCTCTACTCTTTCCTAATTTTTATTATATATCCTAGTTACCATAATTACACGGGAGGAGGAGAGGGCTTTAAAATTACTGTCTTTCCACAAAAGTTTTCAATAAAATTCTGCCTATGGACGGTGAGTTATTTGACATTAAATACGAAGAAGTAATTTTCAGATTAATTTGGAACGGGCATTTGAGCTTTTCATTGCAATTAGTATACGTATACTGAAGTATGTAATAGCCTACATGGAAACATTGGGAAAAGGAACTATACACTTGTAATTCAAAAGGAATTATTGGAGTAGCTTGTTAATACACAACTCTATAAACAAAAGTGTTTAAAAAATATTTTAAGTGAAGATATTACTTGACTAAGTGATCGTTTTTAAATGCACAATAAATATAATTTTAAAGGCCTTTTATGTACTATGCTTTTACTTTCACTAAAGTGTGAACTTTTAAATATTTTATGTGATTTGATGGATGTTTGGTTCAGTTTATTAAATATAATAAGCAAAAGCATTTCTACAAGACATATTGAAAATTCTTTTGCTTTTTTTTATCTTTTTGTGAGAGGGTCTCGCTACCCAGTTCAGGCTGGCCTTGAGCTCACTTTGTAGCCCAGGCTGGTCTCGAACTTGCAATGATCCTCCTGCCTCAGCCTCCCAAGTGCTGGGATTACAGGCATGTGCCACCATGCCTGGCTGAAAATTGTCTTAAAAGTATTTTGATTCTAAAGTTACCGTGATCTCCAAAATATCTAGATTCTAATTCTATTGAAAACTTGGTGTATCGTGGCAGTCATAACAATAACAAGTATTGGCAGTTCATTTTCATGTCCTTCAGTTGTACACAGAGGTCTTTTAAATTTTGATAGTATTTAAATAAAGACTAATATTTTCACTATATACCTAGAGCAAGGATCCGTCTCTTGCATCACAAAACACCTTTCAGAGTGCAACTACCTTCATGTTTGTTTTTTGGCCTCTGTTATTATTACTTCAAGAAAATGTGTTTCATTTGATCTAAGAGTCTGTTTCTTTCCAGAAAGTGAGCCATCACTTTTAGAATTCAAGCCATTCAGTAATGGTCCTTTGGTTGGTGGATTTGTTTACCGAGGCTGCCAATCTGAAAGACTGTATGGAAGCTACGTGTTTGGAGACCGCAATGGGTATGCATCCTGATGTCCCATTTTCATGTACAATTGATGTGTCCATGGATAAGTTAGCACGCTGCCACAGAACATTCAGAAATGACTGTCTTCCATTGGGCCTCACACCTGGAATATATACATATTATTTCCTTTTGTTATACTATATGTGGAAGGTTCAATGAAGAATTTCCAAAGCAATGCTTTTCAAAAGAGTTGGTCAAGTTCGTAAGTTTTTAAAACAGAGAAGGCTTTACATGGACATTTCATATTATATGGTCTCTGCCCTTTTTCCTCAATAAAAATTTAGCATGACAATGAATAACTTGAAATATATTTTGCATGAGTTGTAAAAATATTTTAAAAACTATCTTGGGAGATTATAATTTTTTACTGTACCACACTTTCAAGCCTTGAGCAATAGAATGAAATTTGTATCTATAGATGGACTACTACACAATTAAATTTTGGCCTAAATTTTTGTATCATTCGCTGGATAAAGGGAGGGGCTTTTCTTATACTCAGGTACCTTAGTGCCCCTCCAGATGAAGTATCTTTAAGTACATTCTCCACACAGGAGAATTTCACAACTCTCACACTCCTGATGGGCTGTGTTATTTTTCCTTTGAGAAGTCAGGTCCACGGCACAGTTATCTTATTTTAAACATTTCTATTGTGATCTTTAAGCAAAAGTGTATTTTTATTGTAGGTTTATAGTATGTTTTTGTTGTAGGAATTTCTTAACTCTTCAGCAAAGTCCTGTGAGCAAGCAATGGCAAGAAAAGCCACTGTGCCTTGGCACGAGTGGTTCCTGTAGAGGCTACTTTTCGGGGCACATCTTGGGATTTGGAGAAGATGAATTAGGTACTGTATAAGTCACTTCCATTAAGTTCCACTCTCACTTCCTTGCTCAAGAAGGTGTATTCTGCCCTGAAGAATAGCAGCCTCCTCTCTCATTTGTTAGGAATGGAATCCAACAAAGATGACCTCACAGAGAGGTTCAAAATGGTCCAGTTACATATTCTTTTCCAGGAACGTTCTCCTGAGGGTCTTTGAATCTTAATTCCGTTCTGGAAATAATTAAAATGACAAAACAGGATAATAGATAAGAGCAAGAAAAAGTTTTTGAGACCTTCCAGAAAAAACTTTCTAAATGTCTACTGATATTTCCGATTATCTATCAGAGCAATATTTTAACCCTTTATCTGGAATCTTCCCACTTAGCCTTGTATCTCAGAATAGAAAAGCAATTATCAAAATCTAAAATGTATTCTTTCTCTCTCTGTCTTTCTCTCTCTTCCTGTCTCCCTATCTCTCTCATCCATTGCAGCTTGACATTTGTACCAGATAATTTGCGTTATAAATCTTTCCAACAGAATAGGAATTATCTTATTGACAGTCCACAGGTAACATACGTTTTGGCATCTTTATAAAAATGTACACAGCTTTACGGAATGAAAAGAAATTGAAATGTGATCAAACAGACAGTGGAATTTTTACTATTTTAAATTACAGGGATTAGTGTAGATTTTTAACTATGGCTATTATGTTCCTTTAGCTCAAAAATGGATAAAAAAGGCATAGAAAGAGAACAATACATGCTTCCTACCTAAATAAGAGGATTTTCTATAAAAGTCCACATTGATTTTCTTTTTACATTAAATGAAGAATTCATCAGAAATAATTCCATGCCATTCACTTAGATTTAATAAGGGCCTCAGACAAGACTCCTGAAATGTGTAAGGCATGGTTCAGAGCTATCAGAATGCAGAGGTTGAAAGAAGTCCATCTGATCTTGTTCCAGCAGTAAAAACATTTTACAATTAGTTTTTTCTTTATGTTCTTCAATCCCACCCAAAGGAATCAGAAATATAACCTGTAAAGTAATTTAAATTTCATTTTCAAACTCTGATTTGAAGAGTTACTAAATTGTGGCAGAGTTAGAGGTGAGTGTGTGGATATTGTGATTGAACCATTTTTGTTTTCCCAGACTTTACTACAAAGACTATTCCTACACAGTATATTAGCATCACTATCATTATAAAAAAAATCCCAAAAGTCTGTGTACCTGTATTAGTATATTGTTTTGTAAATACAACCAAAAAATAAAGCATGTATTATCTTTACCATTCCAAATGCTGCTGCCTTATTTATAACCTGTAACAAAAATAAATATATTTTAAATGAATTATATTTTAATGTGAAACTCTCTAGAGCCATAAAAGAAAATGAGTACATTTTTGTACCTTTTGAATCAAAACATCAGTCTGATATGTGTATTACTTTTTTAATCATAAAATTGAGATGACTTTGTTGTGAAGATTAAATGAAGTAAGCTTATAAACTATTGGCAAAACAGATTCTTTTGCATTTTAACTTCATTTTTTTCTATAGAGTCTATATTTTTAGTACGAACCTTGTGACATCTTTTCAGAAATACTATAGTATTTAAGTGTGCTTGATGCACAATTAAAAGTAGAACACAGAAGTACAGATTAAATCAAGGGCTATTACATAAGTAGGAATCAATTACAAATTGTAAAACTTTGTAAACATATAATCATGAATAGTTTTTAATTTCCTATTCATGTAATCTCTTCTGTATGCTGACCTATATGGAAGAAATGGTAATAAACAAGGGTGGTTCTTTCCTAAATGAAAATAGCTTGGTACGAGGAGTTATAGAGTCTCTATCTCTGTCTCCGTCTCTGTCTCTATCTCTGTCCCTCCCTCCCTTCCATATTTATTTTGATACATCCTAGCATATTTTTAAAAAACAAAATATTAAAATGAGCATGCCAATTCCATCTGACCTCAAATTATTAGTTAACAATAACAACTTGGGTTAACCAAGACTTTCAGTCTTGGGCAGAAATAAATCAAGATAAAACATATCCACTCAACAATGCATTTGCAGAACACAAATGCTTACTGAGTACCTTATTCTGTCATAAGCTCTGTTCTAGGTGTTGAAGATACAGGGCCAGATCAAAAGACAAAAATCTAAACTGCTGTCACAAAATTTATTGTGTAAAGGAGGACACTAATAAATTTTTTTTTAAAAAAATATGGATTGCATATCAATTGGTAACCCATGCTTTGAAGAAATCTAGTAGTGAAGAGAGAGTTGGAGGAGTCGGGGAAGGTGCAGTTTTATTTCATTTTTTACTTTTGTAGTCCTAGGGATTGCACCTAGGACCTCATACAGGCTAGGCAAAAGTTCTACCATTGAACTGTATCTTCAGCCTAGCAGGTGAAATTTGAAAGAGTGCAGTCCGGAAAACTAAGATTTAAGCTCAGTCTTGAAGGGAGAAAGTGTGCCTTGAAGAAACACACAGGAATATAGGAGCCTGAGACAGACAGAATCCAGAGATAGAATTGGCCTCACATATTCCAACACAAGGAGCCAGTGAGGCCGGAATAGGGCGAACAAGGGGGCAAACTGTTGTAGATGAGGTCAGAGGAGCAGCAAGCGACTAAATAGGCTACTGTTGGGACTTGAGTTTGCTCTGCGAGAGATGAGAAGCCATTGGAGGGCATTGGAACAAAGGGAGGTGACCTAACTTACATGATCTAACTCCCTCAAAAAAAATGACTAGGCCGAGGATCAGCTGCATGGGCACAGTGCTTGCCTGGCAAGCGTGAGGCCCTGAGTTCAATCCCCAGTACTAACAAGAAAAGGATGGCTAAAGGGTAAACATTGAGAAGAAACACAGAACAAGGCAGAAAGAGGGTGCTAAGTTATAAGTCTGTTGCCATAACCCAGGTGAGAGATGCTATTTGCTCCTGTGGGGAGACTGACATACAGAAAGAAGTGCCTGGAGTGTGGTGCATTCTGGATGTGCGGTGAGGACGGACCTGTAAGACACTGCTATCATCTTCATGCTGTGAATGAACCTACTGTTATTTCTCTCAACAGGTGAAGTCTACATTTTATCAAGCAGTAAAAGTATGACCCAGACTCACAATGGAAAACTCTACAAAATTGTGGATCCCAAAAGGTGAGCTTTCTTTTCGTCCCTTTGAATCAGGAATCACGTTATTTTAGTTCATTCAAATCAGTAATAGTAGAGATGCAGTGGGCAGTCGACCAAGATGCACACATCCACCCTTCCCCTATGCAACGGCTTATCCTGAGAGGACCTTCTCCTGCAGTGTCCGAGGGCCATAGTTGGCCTCTCAGGACTTTAAAAGCTCATCCTAGTTGTTCTTGTCATCGCAGGGCATGTTGTATTTGTGGAACCAAAGTTCTCGGGTAAAAGCCAGGGGAGGAACCCGATGTGTGAGGCAGTGGCTCACACAACTCTGGTGTTGGAAGCAATAAACCCCTTATTTTTGAGAAAACGAGAAACACGCTGGCAGACATTACAGCTGCTTAGTATGATTTTTGTTAGGTAATCAGGATGTTATTTTGGCAGTTCAACATCTGAGCCTCATTTCAAAACTATCCAAACTCTCACAGCTCTCATGAAGACTAGTATGACCAAACAAATGAAAACAGAAGTGTTTAGTTATTTGCCTCAGCAGAGGAAAGATATGAATGTTTTAATCCTTTAAGGAATATAATTATCCTGCCCTAGCTCCTTCCCATCCTCCGTGTTGCACATGTACAACTTTCCAATCATTTTGAACCCAAATTAAACAGCTGTGAATTTCATGTGTGAGATCCGTACTATCAGGGGCTGCTACAATTACCTGCTATCAAATAGACATTGTCGTAACAGACTATTACAAAATCTAAGCATCCTCACAGATATGACTAGGCCATGCTGAACGCTAGTAGCAATGCCTCTTTAGCCATACTATGCTGCAATTTCAAATTCCTTCTACATTCATTTCTTTGAATTTTAAGTCTATTTCAAGACAATAAATTAATAGTCTGAAAAGTTAACCAAAGACTCCACTTGAAAACTATTAAGCTGTCAGTGAACCATGTTTTCCTGAAAAAGCCACAAACAAAATGAGGATTCTTGTCCCTCTCGTATACTGCAAAACATTTTCTTTCCTGAAGAAAATGTAGCTTGACACTGGCTACTACAGAGCAAAAAGAAAAATCAACTTAAATGGCCTACTGACCACATCGCATGTCATGTGCTGAGTACTGATAGTTCCCTTCCCTATTTTACAGTATACATTTTCTCCACCACCAAGAACCTGTCCATACAAGGTTCATATAGTAGAGGGATTCTTTTTCCCCTCTTGAATGTAGAATCAGTGTTCTTTTTAAGAAAACAATGAATAAAAAAGCTATCAGGCACTTAGATGACTGTTGAAGTTGGCAACTTTAAGAATAAAAGTCAAGCTAATGTTAATTTTTAAAATAGCAGCCTTCTAACGATTCATAATGAGGTATGGGGATTTCACTCAGATCTAATGCAATTAGTTTCAAAATAGTCACTGTTGTTCCATTACATTGTCAAAGTTGGTTAGCTTTTCAAAGCTTCTTGGTAGTGTCATAATAAATTCTCTTTGTCTCTCTCTGTCTCACACACACACACACACCCCTACACACACCCCTACACACACACACACACACACACACAAACTTTATCTCGTCATCTGGATTGTTTAACCTGTTGGTGAGTGGAGGCGAATTTTACACCTTCAACCCATTAACAGTGCCTAATTACCGGGGTTTCCGTAGGGGACCTTGGCTTTGTGATCTTAGGGCCCCCTCAAGTAGGGTGGTCTCAGAGTGACATACCTGAAGGCCTGACTTCTCATTATAGAGCCTGTTTCTGGTGAGTCATGTCATGTGTGGGGCCAGGGTTAAGACCTGTGTTTGCTTTTCAAGAGGTGGGGGAAGTGACAGAGTCCCAGTGACACCGTCCTTGTACACAGTCCTTGTACAGAGGCATAACTTTCAAACTTAAACTATTTTCATAAACACTTGTTGGGAGCCTCATGCTGTTGCGATTTGGACACCAACGTTTATTATTATAGTATTTTTTTTTCCTAGTTGAGTTGAAGTTCTGTATAAGCAGACACTTAAGTATGTGAGCGAGATTATTTTGGAAACAGGAGTTAATTACTAGCATAGCAGTGTTCAGGATATGTGCATCAGAGCGAACTGTTTTTCTAAACCTTCTGAGGCAGAATTTGAAGAAAGAACCTCATCAACTCTCAGAAAGAATTTAGAAATCACATGTAACATCTAAGTCAGCAGATGAGTTTCCAGTATTACTATTTCAATCTATAAAGATAGTTTAATCTAAAACTATAAATTACATAATCATGTATAAGTTTAGAATCATTTGCAGTTTAGCAGTTTCCTCAGAAAAGGATGGTGAGGTAACATGGTATAAAAATCAAATGTGTAATGAAGAAAATGAAAATTCACAAAAAGAAGAATACAATGAGGTTTCCCTCAAGCTTAGGTAGAACTCAGAAGTTATTTAAGGAGGAAAAAAAAAAAACTTCCATAAAGAAGCAAGGAAGGGATGAATTGAACCTGTATGTCAGAGGCGGAACACAAATCAGAAATATCGTCAGGGTGAACAGTGGCATTTCATGGCAGTGTGGGGTTAGAATCAAGGCAGGACCAGTTGTGCAGCTGATCCAGCCAAATCAGAGGGTCCTCAAAAGCTTTGAGTACTGGGTTCAGCTTTCCCAGCCTGGGCGCCTTCATCTGCTAACAGTTCTAGAAAACAGATTGAGATGTACTGAGCACAAGATTAGGGCAGTAATTCCCGTTTCTCTTAAGAGTGCCATCTGAAGCGGGTCAGATCAGAGCAAGTCTGTACAGGCAGTACAGAAGCTCAGTTGGTCTAGCCTCTGACTCTCCTTTAGTACAGAACACTACATAAGTTATCTCCCTATTCCATGCTCCTTTGCCTACAGATGATCAGTCTTTCCCTGTCTCATTTCTGCACAGGACAAGGAGGGAGGTAAATAATATCTTTAAAATCTATTGAATCCTTTAATATTGTTAGTGCTCATCTCAAGCACCCTAAAATTATTTTCAGGTAATCTCACCTTTTGAGGTTTCCATAGCTCCAAAATTAGGATAAAGATATCCATGGAACTTTAAAAAGCTTTCAGGGACTGGGGATTTAGCTCAGCGGCACATCGCCTGCCTGGCAAAAGCAAGGTCGTGAGTTCGATTCCTGGTACAGAAAGAAAAACAAAAAACAAAACAAAAAAGCTTTCAATGCCTAAATTTCAAATATTTGAGTTTTGCCTACAACACTTGCTCTGTACTAAATCTTTTCATAATTAATCCAATGCTCCTGGGTGGTAGAAATTAAAGATGTCTCGCAGAGTTGTGTAACTTCCAAGCTTTATGGCTATAGAATAGAAATTTTTCCATAAAGACAGAAGATTCTTTAAGTTTGTTTTAGATGAACGTAGACCAAATGATTATTTTTATCTTTATTTTGAAATATTTCCAGGGTTTATTTCTCCAAGAATTTGTAAAACAAAGTTATTAAGAATAACAAAGCTATTCAGAACAATCATGTTGATTTACTTACTGTGTACCCGCTCTAGCTATATTTTAGTATTCTGTTTATCTGTTACCCGAACCAAGTCACAGAAACCATTCTAAGATGTCTATACATGAACAATGCAAATTCCAGGCTGGAGAGGTCATTTTACAGAAGTGCTGTGTATCCCCAGATTCCTATGTGACCAGTACTAAAACCGCCTCTCATTTTTCCTTCCTTTCCCTTCGCTCTCCTCCCCGCAAGGTGCCACATACAGCCCTTTGTTTACATTTTTGTAATATCTTCATCTTACGCCTTATTGTACTGGATGCTAGAGTGCTTTTCCCCACAAAATCCCGTCGTAAGGGGAACTCAGTTCTGTTTATCCTTCACATGTGTCTCAGGCAGTTCTGTCAACCCAAAGAAAGTCATACATAATAGAGCAGCTTTAGCCCAGTAAGCCAGTCGAATCCCAATTCATCAGTCAAAGTTTTATGCAAGTGGCCCCCCTGAGTTGATAAATTCCCACAGTGCCTGTTGACCCAGCTGCCAAGTCCTCTTGCAGCAGGTGGTGTTTTCATGGCCACCCTGACAGTAATACAAACTGTTTAGCAGCTCCATTGACCTTTCAGCTATTAACAGGGATACGGGCTCCACGAGGGACTAGTTTTCAAACATGACAGAATTTCTTAACACTAGAGGTCATGAACAAGTATATGCCCTATAAAAATCTATTCAGCATGGTGGATTAAAAGTCTGAAAGACAAGGAAGCATTTTTCATATCTTTGCTATTATTATCACTCTGCATTTCCAATAACCAAAAATGGACAGACACTTCCCGCCTGTTTGCATTTTATTTTTAATATGTCATATTTCATGTGTAATCAAAATCCCTTTTTTGACATCAAATCTTCCCTAAGCTGCCACATAACATCTGGAACTGTAAAGACATTATACAAAAAGAATTGGGTAAGATCAAAGTCAAAATGTGTAATTAATGGATGGGTAGGCATACATAACACATGGCAATGGCTTTAGTATGATTCATACTTTAGCAAGATTTATGTATGTATATGGACACATACAGACACACTTAAAGATGCTCAGATAATGTATATGCAATGTTACATACTCATTACCTATTTCAAAAAAGGCAGAAAATGTTATATAATCATTTATTCAAAAATAAGGAAACATTTATAATCTCATATTACTTTTAAATGTTTTCTGTCTTATTTTTTAAAATAATCAGATGCCTCTATTCAAAGTGCTGACAGATTTATATTTACAAAATACAAAACTAATTGTGTAAGGAGAACAACTGTACAATGTGATGTTTTGACAAATATGCATCATGTGAAATAATTCAGGCAAGCTAATTATCAATCAACTCCCATACTTAATGGTGAGACCATATGTCTTGTATGTACATATGAGAACATATGTCTTGTACCCCATTTCCTGGAGCTGTGACAGATGACCACAGCATTCAAAGGAATTTTATGTTTTATACTGATTGTAGTCCCTTAATCTATCAATTTTGAATGTTAGAACATTTGCTTTTATAGTTCTTGTA